ACCAAAGTACAAAAAAAAAAAAAAAAAAAAAAAAACATTTTAATTAAGAGCTTTCAAAAGAAAGGTTATGAAGTGAAAAGTAGGGAAAGAAAAAAAAAAAAGAGGATAAAGACTTGAAATTTACACTCAAGACCAAAAAAAAAAAAAAAAAAAAAAAAAAAAAGGCTCCATTCTCCAGGACATAGTAGACCTCATAACCTATCAACACAATAGCCAGATTGTAAAAACTCATCTTCTAAAATGCACATATAAAGACTTGGAAATAACTGCTATTAAAAACATATATCCAAAGTTCTCCACCATCTGTAATTATTTAGTGTATTTTAGGCATGAAAATTAAATAGTTCGGAATTGGGGTTGTGGCTCAATGGTAGAGTGCTCCTCTAGCACGTGCAAGGTGCACATGGGTTCAAGCCTCAGCACCACATAAAAATAAAGGTTTAAAAAATGAAATAGTTCCTCCCACCTAAATTCAGAATAGGAGAAGATATCAAACTTTAAAAAGTAAGCATAATATAACATCCTAAAAAAGACAACATTATGAAAAGGTAACATATCAGTACTTGCCATTGTTTTCAAAGATACAGCTTGAGGGAACTCTCTAGGGAAGAGTACTGTTGTACATCTTGATTATGGTAGTGATTAAACAACTGTTTGCTTTGACAAAACTCTTGAAACTGCCCATCAAAAAATGAATATTATTGTATCTAAAGAAAAGTGAAAGCACTGCAAGTGTAACTCAGTAACAGAGTGTGTGCCTAGCATGCACAAGGTCCTGGGAAGGAAAAAGAAAAGTGAACTTAAAGACAAGTAGAAAAAGCCATGCACAGTGGTGCATGCCTCTAATCCTAACAACTTGGGAGACTGAGGCAGGAGGATCACAAATTCAACAACTTAGCAAGAACCTCAGCAACTTGGTAAGATAAAAAACAAAAGGACTAGGGCTGTACTCCATGGTAAAGTGCTCCTGAGTTCAATCCCCAGTACAAAAAGAAAAAAAAATCAAAATAAATAAGATATTCTAGCACTTATATTTAAAAAAATATATAACTAGCTTTGTATATAAAATGTCATAATAGGGTTGAGCTTCACTACAAATATTGACAATGTACAAAAGTACAATTAATCACAGTATTAAAAAAGAATTTTTTATTTATGTAACACCTATACAGCTTTTAAAATATCCAAAATGTTTCCCGTGTATTGATTATCTCATCTGGTAGAAATGGAATACAATTATCATCCCTGTCCTGCAGAGAGAAAGGAGGCTTTAATTTTATTTGGTCAGTGATCACACTGTGAAAAAATGGTGAAAGTCTAAAAGGCAGCCCAGAGTTCACTCCTTACACAACCCCTTCAGTAAGAGGCCTCACTAAGCCACACATTACCTACCTATACCTAGTGAAATAGTTACTCAAATATAATCTATAAAATTTTCTTCTGATTTCTTAAGACTAACCAATGATTTTCATTATTTCTAAAAATAACCYAAGACAACTTACAAAATATAAAGAATATATATATACACAAGCAAAATTATTTACAGAAATCTGGAACTCTGGGTCCAAATTATGTATTCTCATTGGCAGATATTTTTCTTCTGGAAAGACCAGAGAGTGGAGTGGGGTACAATGGCGTAGGCCTGTAATCCCTGCATCTCAGAAGACAGAGGCAGGAGAAACATAAGTTCAAGGCCAGCTCAGCAACTTAGTGAGGCCCTAAGCAACTCAGTGAAACCGTCTCTAAATAAAATACAAAAAAGGGCTGTGGATGTGGCTCAGTGGTTAAGTGCCCCTGAGTTCAATCCCCAGTACCAAAAAAGAAAAAAAAAAAAAAAAAAAAAGACAGACTAGGGAGTGGGAACAGGGATGGGGGAGTGGCAGGGGAAGAAAAGAACTTCTAACATCTCAAGATTGGGGAGGTCATTTAAGAAAATAACTTTCTGCTCTAGATAAAAGAACAAAAGTAGACACCATCAAAGGCAAAAGGGCTTAAAGTTCTTTGCTAAATGTTTTCCAAGAAATCAAGAATATATAAATTTAAATTTCCTGAAACTACCACTCTTTTACATAGAAATCTTTTAGCAATAATAGAGCACACTGTGGTTGTCACTTTTATATATAATTGTATCAATAAAATGGTCCAGAGTTCATATAGGTAGAAGTCCTATTAAAAAAACAAAACCTCAATGGGTATGGTGGCACACATCTGTAATCTCAAAAACTCAGGAAGCTAAAACAGGAGGATCACAAGTTTAAGCCAGACCTGGGCAATTAAGTCAGACCCTGTCTCAAATTTAATGGAACAAAGGGGCTGAGGATGCAGCTCAAGACTRGGGATGCAGCTCAGGGTACCCCTGGTTTCAATCCCCAATACAAAAAAAAAAAAAAGAAAAAATTCAAGTAAACCTCAAACACAAAATAATTTCAAATTCAAATAAAGCCAACCAAAATATCAAATGACATTATTTTTAGATAATAAACTGATGCATAAAATAAAGACAACTTAAATGTATTTTCAGTTAAAAGCTAGGCTAAATTATTCAAACAACTATTCTTAGGTTCCATTTATAATAATGTAGAACACAGTGGTTTTTTCCCTAATATAAGGAGGTATCCTACATGATTTTAAAAAACAGAAGAAAATACTTTACGATTTCAGCTGTTTTCTCAAATCTCAGAGATTTTAATAAAACAAATTATTAAAAGCAGTTTTCTAAATGCCAAAAGCAAACAGACAAAATATATTCTGCAAATTAGAAAAATAAATGTCAAAATGGTTCCCCACAAAATAAGCACATTTTTAGAGGCCCAGCACAATCATTCACTCCAAGAACAAAGAATTAGTAAAGAATGAACAAAAGAGGATAAGACTCCTCCCCATCCATGCACAGTGCATTTCCCACCTCTTTCTCCCTGTGATCCCCACCGTGTGAATTTTGATCCAATCTGAGTTCTAGCTAAGGATATACAACAGAAAAAATAATTCTACTTGTCAGAGAACTCACAAAACAAGTCTTTTTTACATCTAGACAGAAATATATATGTACATATGAATTTGAGCAAAAAAACATTTATTCCAATTTAAGGAAAAAATTCTTTATATTTACTGCACTCAATTTACACAATATCCCCATTGGCATGAAGTAAGAGCAGTTTTACCTGTTCTATAAAGTATTGGAATGTGATCAGTAGAAAGCTTATGTTCGCTCCGCACACCAATCAACAGGGGGCTACCTCGTCTGTAAATCAAGTTAAGTCAGAATTAAACCATTTTTACAAATAATGTACTAAATAATATACTAATATAAATAATATTTTTACAAATAATCTATATAAGTAATATAATAATATATTAATAATGAAGATTGCATTGAAGAATCAATATTCTTCAAGAAATGTTTTAATTCTCCCTTCAGATATAGTAAATGCAATGGGTTTGCAAATTAAGACCCACAGGCCATACTCGTCTATTTCTATAAATAAGGATTTCTTTCTGTTATTTTTAATTGACAAACTAAAACTGTATTAAAAAGAGGTTACTGGAACCCAGTCATACCCATTCTTTCACATACAATGTACAGCTGCTGTCACACTAGTACAGCAACACTGAAGCTACAAAAGAGACTACTTGACACAGAAAGCTTAAAGCATTTGCTATCTGGCCCAATCCAGAAAAAGGTTGCCAATTTCTATTCTATAACACCATACTTGAAATTTTTCTTTTTAATGTTAAATGAAATTTTTCTTTTGCTTCTACACAGAACACCTATATATAATGATCTCCTTCAGCCATCCTGCCTTTCATTTCAGATTAAAGATCCATCTCTCTCTCTCTCTCTCTCACCAAATCTTAAGGTTCCTCACTGTTTTAAAAAAGACTTCATGATTGGTTTTAAATATCCTGGCAAAAGCAGTGATGGTACAATTTTCTAGGAATCTATCTGGAACATATTTCTAAAAAATATGAAGAAAGGTGAAGTTTTGAGTCTGAAATTAGAGAATATAAAATATCCAAATTCACAAAGTAAACACAGTTAACCTACCCAAAAGACAAAAGGCCAAKTATAAATGCCAAAATGCATTTACTTTATTAAGGGATTCTGCTAAATCAGAGAGTGATGTAACAACAAACAAGGAGGAATACATGAAAAATAAACACTTACATGAATACCTCTAAGGAAAGTCCCTTACAGGCTTTACAAAATAACCCTGTCCCTCAAATGTTTCAAAATACATATAATTATTATTAGTCATTATTAGATTTATATGTACCTTGTGCCCACTGCTTGCCCAGGAAAATGAACACTTTTAAATACAAGTGCAAAAGCACCTTCCTATGGGGAAAAAAATACATTAGTAATACTTATAATCAATTACCAAATGCAAAATGCTTGAAACATTCTGGCTTCTTTCATTCACACAAGGGCTATTTTACACTAGTTTATAAAGAAGCCTGAGTTTCAGGCAAACAGTCCTGAGTTTTGGTATATACAAGACCAACTTCTAAAAATAAGACCACTTTCAAAATATGCTTAATAGATAATGGCTTCAAAAACAGACCATTGGAAAAAGTCACCTTTGTATACGTTACCAACATTTCTCAACAGATACATCATATCTCCCATGCTACAAATTAATAGCAGGAGGATAGAATAAGATTCCAATCACAGTATCCAAAACCCATTCTTTGCCCTAGTAATTGTAAACCACTGTTAACTTTCATTCTTTTTGACCTTGATATCAATAATGTAAATACATACAATCATGATTATTAACTTGCACACCACTGTACCCTGTCAAACCAACCTCCTAAAGGACGGAGTCTAAAGAATGGATAAAGGAAGAACCTGAGGTAGAAGAACAAAAAACCACTATAGAACACAAACTAGATTATACAGTAAAAAGAAGAAAAGGCTGAGAAGGCACACTGCTCTGCTATGGGTAAAGGGAAGGAACAAACCTTGAAATTCACCATCATCCTAACTCCTTCTGCTACAGACTTCATAAAGTTTGGTTGGGAGGAAAGGGTTGGATCATATTAGGGAAGGAAAGGGTTTTTAAGTGGGAAAGCTAGAGTTATATACGTAGGCATCAATATGGACTCGGACTTTTGTGGCTCTTGGATGTCTTTAATCTTTACTTAGGGCAACTGAGATGGATTCAAAAGAATAGTGCTTTTTTCTTAGGCTGGAAAATACGTTCATATGGAGGTACAGGGCCAAGGAAAAGTGAACAAAAGAAAAAAAAATTCATTATGCTGACAGAGACATGCAGACATTATCCCAGAATAAGGTTGCATTTTGCTGAAGGTACTTGTGCTAAAATTATTGGTTGGAAGCAAAAGAGTGGTAATTCTCTACCATGTGTGCTGTGTATATGCATGTGTCATGTGTACAAGTGTGCATGCATGCTGTTTTCAGACAAACTTACTCTTCAATCTCACTACACCAAACTATAGTGAAATAAGTAGAATTTTAAGAGTTGAAGGAGGCAGTCAAATCACTAAGTCAAAAAACAATCTCAAAATTATTTAAGTTGAATTGTTTTGCATATGGAAATAAAGGCCAAAAATAATAAATTAGCATAGTTCCTATTTATAAGATTTAAATAATTTCTCATGATCAATGTTAAGATAACTAGATTTAAAAGTATGGCTTAATACCAATTGTTGGATAACTCTCTCCACCAAGGTAGTAAAACTGATATCTTGACTTTCACAGTTGTCATACATGTACTTAACAAGCTTGGCAATTGCTTCTGTGTCTGTTTCAGATTCAAAGTCATAGCCTTTGCTTTCCTAAGGGCAGGAGGGAAAAAAATACATTTAATAAGAAAATATGATATCCAAATCCTTTCTACAGAATTTTTTCCTCAAAAATCTCACTAATTTTTAATATTTTTTAAATATTTTTTTAGGTGTAGATGAACACAATACAATGCCTTTATTTTTATGTGGTGCTGAAGATCGAACCTGGGTCCCACCCATGCTAGGTGAGTGCTCTACCACTGAGCCACCATCCCAGTCCCAATTTTTAATATTTTTAACACCATATTTCATTGCTCAAAATAAAGGTCAACATCTGATTACAATGAATCCAAAATAAAATGGTACTCTGTTTAACTRAACATATACTTAATTTATATGAATATATGCCACAGGAATTAAAATAAATTTTAAATAATTAAAATATAATGAAATATGTAACACTCAAAACACCAGTTTTTCTTTTTTTTTTTAAAGAGAGAGAGACAGAGAAGAGAGAATTTTTTAATATTTATTTTTCAGTTTTCGGTGGACACAACATCTTTATTTTTTATTTTATGTGGTGCTGAGGATCGAACCCAGCGCCCGGTGCATGCTAGGCAAGCGTATTACCACTTGAGCCACATCCCCAGCCCAAAACACCAGTTTTATAATGAATATACCAATTCTTTTTTAGATGATGGTATAATAAAATAAAACAGTCATGAGCTATATGTGGCTATCTAAATTTAAATAAAATTTAAAATTCAATTTCTCAGTCACACCAGGTCAACAGTCTAATGTGGATGGTGGTTACTGCAAAAGAAAAAACAAAAAATGTTTCCATCACTACAGAAAGCTCAATTGGATAAGCCTGAGAAGGTCACCAGTATGAATCATTATAATAGAACATATGGCTAGTTAGGACAAGGATCTTTCATTTAATCTTTATTGGCTCTTGTTATATGTACTAGAATTTTTTAAAATATATCAAATAGGGACTTTCATAGCAAAGATGTACCAGAAAAAACTCTTAAAAAAATTTTTTTTTGAATTTTTGCATTGCCAGGGATCAAACCCAGCACCTTGTGAATGCTAGGCAAACACTTTACCACTAAGCTACCAACCCTCAAAACTACAATTTTATTTAAAGTTTGGTCACTTATAATAAAGTCAAATAATTATTGCCTTCTCATATAGGAAAACAGAATTGTTCCAGTCAATAAACCATCAAACTCTTGAAACTGTCTTAGAAATTATCTGATCATACTAAGATGGTGTTGCACATCCTAAGAAATAATCTCACTGATCTAGAGATATTCTAGAAGACAGTGTCTTTTGAGGTGTCTTTACTTACCAAAAACTTTTTCAAGTCCTTGTAGTTGGTGATGATTCCATTATGAATAACAATAAATTCTAAAAGGTATAAATAAAAGCATTGATGATGAAAAGTTTGATAAATGCTATAATTAACTATTACTATGAACAAATTTTTCTTAAGTCTATACTTCTTGGTGGAATCAAGTATTATCTATGTCTCATTATTAGATTATCACCAGGTAGATTAGCAGTATTATGTGGCTTAGCAGGAATATATTGTGCTAGGATAGTGCATATAGCAAGAAAACAATAATAAACTGGAATTCTGAAGACATTAATTTCAGCTTCGGCTAAATTACTATCACATACTACCAGGTGAAAGGACAAAGTTTACTGGGCCTGTTTCCTCATTTGCAAACTGAGAAAGCTAAACTAATTAACTCTTTTTTTAATATTTATTTTTTAGTTATAGGTGGACATAATATCTTTATTTCATTTTTATGTGGTGCTGAGGATCGAACCCAGTGTCTCACTCATGGTAGGCAAGTGCTCTACCTCTGAGCCACAACCCCAGTCCTTGAACTAATTAACTCTTATTCTCATTTCTCAGTTCATTCTTTTTTCAGTATAAATTTAAAGAAAATTCCTTTCAAAACTACTACAATCATCTGATTTACTCTGAGTTAAAAGATCTAAAGTTAAGAAACTCACCAAGAATAACCAGATAGTTATTCAGGATTTTTAAAAGTATTTGTTTATTTATTTATTTTAGTTGTAGTTGGACACAATACCTTTATTTTATTTAGTTATTTTTATGTGGTGCTGAGGATTGAACCCTGCCAGGGCTTCCCGTGTGCTAAGCAAGCACTCTACCACTGAGCCACAACCCCAGCCTAGTTATTCAGTTTTATAATTAAATTTACTTGCCTGAGATCCTGATTTTTCCTGAAATGTCACATAAAAATTGACAAAATATCATTCCAAGAGCAAGTAAATATGATTTGGGAATTATTTTTAACCTATTCTTACTAAATAACTTATAAAAATGTCAGAATAAATAATCAAGAGTCAACATTACTTGTAGCCACTGGCAGAGTATGTAAAACTACCCATGTGGATTTATTAAAGTTCACATGTCAGGAGAAAAGTTACTAAATCCAAATTTTTTTTCCTCCTTTTTGAGATGGGGTCTCACTATGTTTTTGAGGTTTGTCTCAAACTCCTGAGCTCAAGTGATCCTCCTGGCTCAAGTCTCCCTAAATCAGCTGTGACTACTAGCACGTCACTGGTTTCTGACCAAATCTAATTTTTTATGACATCATCAAAATGTTTTTAATATACCTAAAGATTTGATATCTGGATTTGATAGTAAATGAACCTGAACTAAAATGCATTATACACTAAAAAATACTTTCATTAGACATGTAGTAGATGATATCAACTATAAAAATAAATGTAAGAAAAAATTAAATGCTAGGACATAGAATCATAAGTAGTTGACAAAAAGCCTTAACTTAAAGCCAAAATCTCAAAACACAATTTAGATACAACTTTTTAGGACTCTTTTATAAAGGTCTTCTCAGTGTTAAAAATCTGAGTGTTTGCYAACACTAGAATTCATTTCCATACTATTGAGACACAGAAAACTTAATAGGAAGCTTCTAAATTAAATTATAAACTCAAAAAGAACATACACACACACACACACTCAACTGTATGCATTTGCTTACATTTTAAAGGGAAGAACAGACAAAAAAACTGTTTAAAGAACTGGTGTATTGCTCACTAATATACACTTGTCAAGGTTGCATAAGACCCTGGGTTTTATTCTAAGCACCATCACAAAAAAAAAAAAAAAAATGACAATATAGAGTTAAGATTTCTTTTTTGGTGCCAAGGATTGAACCCCAAGGCCTCACACATATTAAACATGCATTCATTCTATTCCAGAAGCCCCTAGACTTCTTTTAATATGCTTTGTTCTACAGATGTGGTTTCAAAATATTAAATAATTTTAATAAAATTAATTTTTTTTCCAGCACTGGGGAAATAAAAACAAACCCAGGGCCTTGCACATTCTATGCAAGTGCTCTACTACTGAGCTATGTCCGCAGCCCTTTGTATTTTATTTTGAGAGTGGGTCTTGCTGAATTGCCCATGTAGGGCTCAAACTTCTGGTCCTCCTGCCTCAGGCTCCTGAGTAGCTGTGATTATAGGCATGCACCACTGCACCCAGCTAAGAAAATAAATTCCTAAAAACTAAATTAAATATATTAACATAATGCTATAACCAACTGGTAGCATAACCATATAAAGACACTGTTCCACTAATTTAATTATACATCCCTAAGGATAACAACAATAATTTAAAAAGTTTTAAATAAGAGTTTTCAACACTGGGGTTGTGGCTCAGTGGTAGAGTGCTTGCCTAGCATATATGAGGCACTGGGTTCAATTCTTATCACCACATATAAATAAATAAAATAAAGTCCACTGACAACTAAAAAATTATTTAAAGAAAAAGAGTTTTCAGTAAACATACTGTTATGGTCATGTTGGTATTATTATTGTTATTATGAATATCAGGAGGTAAATTAAATAAAGATATTGCAAATGTTGAGAGTGGTTAAGCATGCTTGAAAGGAAAAACAGATATCAGATCAAGGAGATTCAGTAAAAACCTTATATCCCTGGACCTGAATTGGAAATTTAAAACCACATTGTTTTATCTTTAAATTTTACACAAATTAATTATGGCAATGATCATCAATGGCTGCTAACAGCACAAAAAGAAAAACATTTTGTACCTCCAGAGGAAAACAAACACCATACCAATTTAATACAAAATATACAGGCACTGTGGACATGGTCACTGTAATCCCAATGATGTGGAAAGAGAAATGCAAGTCCGAGGGCAGCCTCAGCAACTTAGCAAGGCCCTAAGCAACTTAGTAAACTCTATCTCAAAATAAAAAATAAAAAGGCATGGGGACGGGGCTAGAGTTGTAGCTCAGTGGTAGAGCACTTGCCTCGCATGCATGAGGCCCTGGGTTTGGTCCCCAGTACCACATAAAAATAAACAAATAAAAATATTTTTTTTAAAAAAAGGAATAGGGATATAAGTCAGTGGTAAAGTGCCCCTGGGTTCAATCCCCAGTACCAAATGTATATATATATTTATAAATATAAATATAAATATGTGTGTGTGTGTGTGTGTGTGTGTGTGTGTGTGTGTGTGTGTGTATCTATCTACAGGGACAGTGGTACACACCTGTAATCCCAGGTACCCAGGAGGCTGAGGCAAAAGCACCACAAATCCAAGGCCAGCCTGGGCAACTTAATGCAACCACCCCAAAACAAAATTTAAAAAGCTGGGATGTAGCTCAGTGGTAGAGCACTTGCCTAGCATGTGTGAAGCACTAGGTTTAACATCTAGTACCTCAAAAAATAAATACTGAAGAGTCATCAAACTACAATATGATATCTATTAACTTTCAAAACAGAAAATAAACTTAATTGGTCATGTTCTGCATAAATGTTAAAGCTGGGAAATGGATGTATCAGGTTCTATATGTTCTCTATTTCTGAATATATCTGAAATTCTCCAAATTAAGAAAAATTAAGATAACAAAAACATATGAGCCTTCATTCTTCCTCCCATTATTAACCCTCTACAATCATTCAAAGCATACAGAATATGTTCATACCATTATTTTTATCAGAGCGCTGGGGGTGGCTGTTGACAGGATTGGGTTCTCCATGTGTTGCCCAACGGGTATGAGCTATCCCAAGGTGTACATCAAATTCTATATCCAAATCCATATCTTGTTGCTCTGAACAAGACAAAATAAAAAAACCCAGTATTAAATAATGCTACAGACAACCATTCATGTTAAAAACACTGGAGAAAATAGGTATAAGGGAAATATATTTCAAGATTATAAAGGCTTCGTGTGATGTGAGTGTGGGYAAAGAGTGCATACTCTGCACTCAGGCTGGCTGAAAAGGAATCCCAGTTTTGATATTTGCTATGTTGCTACTTGTGTAAACCTAAGCATGTTTGTTGATCTTGTATTCTAGGCTGCACTTTTCTGCTAATCATCAAAGTAAAATTTTTGGTTTGTGTTAAATACTTCATTAAAGGTCTCATCATCAAAAAAAAAAAAAGATTATAAAGGCTATATATGACAAACCCAAAGCCAACATCATACTGAATAGAGAAAACTGAAAGGTTTTCCTCTAAAATCAGGAATAAGATAATGGTGTCCACTCCCACCACTCCTATTTAATACAGTTCTCGAAACTCCAGCCAAAGTAATCAGGCAAGAGAAGGAAACTAAAGGGATTCAAATTGAAAAAAGAAAACGTCAAACCATAATTGTTTGCTGACAACATGATCCTATATATAGAAGACCCCCCAAAAAATGTACCAGAAGACTTCTAGAGCTGATAAATTAATTCAGCAAAGTAACAGAATACAAGATCAACACTCATAAATCAGTAACATTTCTATATTCCAATAGCAATTCAGCTGAGAAAGAAATCAGGGAAAACCATCCCTTTCACAATAACCTGGAAAAAAAAATCTGGGCATTAATCTATCCAAGAAAGTGAAAGAACTCTACAATGAAAACACTGAAGGAAGAAATCAAAGAAAACCTTACCTCAAAAGATGGAAAGACCTCCCATSTTTTTGGATAGGCAGAATTAATACTGTCAAAATGGCCATATTGTCAAAAGCAATATACAGATTCAATACAATCCCCATCGAAATACCCATGACATTCTTCACAGAACTATAAAAAACGGTCCTTAAATTTATTTGAAAGAATAAGAGACCCAGAACAGCCAAAGCTATTCTGAACAAGAAAAGTGATGTAGGAAGTATCCCAAGACTGAATCTCAAATTATACTACAGAGTTATAGTAGCAAAAACAGCATGGTATTGACATCGAAATAGATGTGAAGATCTATGGAATAGAACAGAAGACAGAGAGACAAACCCACATACTTACAGCTATCTGATATCTGACAAAGGTGTCAAAAAAATATGCTGGAGAAAAGACATCCTTTTTTTTTTTTTTTAAACATGACAGTAGAGTACATTTTGAAATATTATACATACATAGAATAAGCATAACTTATTCCAATTAGGAGGGCTGCCATAAACACTGAAGTGACTGTATCACTATAGTATGTCAATTTTMAGTCCTTCAGGTATAAACTGAGATGTAGGATAACTGGGTCAAATGGTGGTTCCATTCCAAATTTTCTAAGGAATCTCCATATTACTTTCCAGAGCAGTTGCACCAATTTGCAGTCTTACCAGCAATGTATAATTGAACCTTGTCCCTCACATCCTCTCCAACATTTATTGCTGCTTATATTCTTGATAACTGCCATTCTGACTGGGGTGAGATGGAATCTCAGTATAGTTTTGATTTGCATTTCTCTAATTGCTAGAGATGTTTTTAGTCTTTTTAACAAATGGTACTAGGAAAACACAATATCCATATGTAGAAGAATGAGATTAGATTCCCCTCTCTCACCTTGCACAAAAGTCAAATCAAGGGCTGGAGACTGTAGCTCAGTGGAAGAGCATATGAGGCACTGGGTTCAATCCTCAGCACCACATAAAAATAAATAAACAAAATACAGATTTTTTTTAAAAAGTCAAATCAAAATGGATCAAAGCCTCAGGAATTAGACCAGAAACCTTGAAACTGTTAGAAGAAAACACAGGGTTGACACTCTTATCATATAGGTGCAGGCACTGACTTCCTCAACAAGACCCCTAAAGCTCAAGAAATAAAACCAAGAATCAACAAGTAGAATGGCCATCAAATTAAAAAGCATCTTCACAGCAAAGGAAGTGATCGAGAACATAGAGAGCCTATAGAACAGGAAAAAAATCTTTGCCAGCTACTCCTCTGACAGGCAATTAATATCCAAAGTATATAAGAATCATTGCCAAAAAAAAACAAAAACCCACAAATAACCCAATTGATAAATGGGGAAAAAAAAAACTAAACAGGCATCTCTCAGAAGAAACACAAATAGTCAGAAATATATGAAAAAAATGTTTAACATATCTAGCAATCAGAGAAATGCACATCAAAACTACACTAAAGGGCTGGGGACATAGTTCAGTTGGCAGAGTGCCTGTCTCACATGCATAAGGCCTGGTGTTCAATCCCCAGCATCACAAAAAAAAAAAAAAAGATATTAAAATTTCATCTTACTCTAGTCAAAGTAGCAATTGTCAAAAACAYACAAAAAATAATAAACTCTGGTGAGCATGTGGAGAAAAGCACATTCATACATTGTTGGTGGGACTGCAAATTAGTACAATTACTATGGAAAGAYGCATAGAGATTCCTCAAAAATTTAGGAATGAAACTACCATATGATCCAGTTATTCCACTCCCTGGTATTAATCCAAATGAACTAAAATCAGCATACAGGTACAGCTACTTCAATGTTTACAACAGCATAATTCAYAATCACTAATTATGGAATCGGCCCCAATGTGTGTCAATAGATGAACGATCAAAAATATGATATATATATATACACAACAGAGTTTTACTCAATCATAAGTAAGATAAAATAACAGTGTTTGCTGGTAAATGGATGGAAATGGAGAAAGTCATGCTAAGTGAAATAAGCCAAACTCAGAAAAATCAGAGTCCAGTGTTTTCTTTCATGTGAAAGCTGGAACAAAATAAGAGAAAGAAGACAATGGGGGAGGGGGCTGCAGGGGAGGGGGCAAGGTATCATAAAGATAATAGGAAGATCAGTGGAACACAAGGAGAACAAGAGGGAGGGAGGAAAGAATTGGAAAAAGGAAGAAATATGGAATGAATTTAAGAAAATCATATTATATAGAAATATAAATGTTCAAAGGGTATTTCACCTTTATATGAAAATAAAATAAATGAATAAAGGACTAAAAGAAAGATCACACAGAAGGGAGAATAGGGGGATAAAGGGGAGGGGGGAAAAGGGGTAACAAGAATTGAAATTAAATCCCTACATGTGTTATTTTGTCAAAATGAACCAAAATACTATGTATAATTACAATGCTCTAATTAAAAAAAAAAAACTACAATATGCTTAAAAAAAATAATGCCGTAGAAATGCTAGAAGCTATATTAAATTATACAGCCAGGCAAGGTAATCCCAGTACTCGGGAAACTGAGACAGGAGAATCATGAGTTTAAAGCCAGCCTCAGCCATGGTGAGGCACTAAGCAACTAAGTGAGACCCTGTCTCTAAATAAAATACAAAATAGGGCTGGGGATGTGGCTCAGTGGTCCAGTGTTCCTGAGTTCAATCCCTGGTACACCACCTCCGCAGAAAAATATACAGTAGTTCCACTTTGTCAATAAGGGATAGATTTCAAGTGTTCCTCCCATCCCACCCACCCTGTGGATAGCTGATATTGCAGATAGTACCAAACCCTATATACACCATGTGTTTTCCTATATATACATGACACACAAACTTAATACCTTTTCTATCTTAACTAAGCACTTATCATACACTATGGCCATAATTTTTGCAGTTTGAGGTGTGACAGAAAAACTGGCACAAATTTCTTTTTTCTTCTTTATAATTTCACAGATTCATCCTTACTATAGATGTTACCAACCTCTGCTTATGACTTTCCTTTTTTTGTTAAGGAGAAAACTAACATCTTTTATCAAAAAAGTATTTCATGGCTTCTCTTTAGTATGTCTGAATTGTCAGCATCCTTACTCTTACGTTTTGGGGCCATTATTAAGTAAAGTGAAAACCACCAAGTGAAGACACATGAACAAGGGCACCACTAAAAACAGCTTTTGTCCTACAAACAGCCCTTCCTTTCTCAGGTATGGCAGTTCTGAAGCTACTTCATTTTAAGACATTGAGCTTGCTCTGAACCCTATGTAACTACTTTCCTTTCCTAGTTGTTATGATCATTTTWAAAGCTCATGTACAATTTAAAGCCAATCCAAATAGTAACAAAAGAACTTTTCTTCCCTTGCTTCAACTTTAAGAATCATTATCCTCAAAATGGGTCCCAAAATATGCGGTATTTAGTGGGGAGAGGGGCAAAAATCAACTAAGTACATTACTGTGAACTTCTTCATCCAGTGCCTTAACTTTTCCTTTCTTCTTAATGAGTTGAATTTTGCAGGCATTGGCTTCCCAATCTTTGTCATTGCCTCCATCAACTCCCACACCTAAGACACATAGAAATAGAACAAGATTTAGACACTGCCTATATCCAAGATTATCAATATGAAGCAAAATTCTTAATTTAAAATTATTACATTTTCATATAATTCATTTATCAATTTAACATTTACTAAAAACATATTAGGTATCAAATAGCATGATAGCTGCTTGACACAAAAATGAAAACAAGGCTGGAGGTGTAGTAGCTCAGGGGTAGAGAGCTTACCTAACATACACAAGGCCTGGGTTCAATTCCCAGCATCAAAACAAAAGAAAATGACTTCGGTTTCTGTATTCAAACTTCAAAGATTGTTAAAAAGATAGATAAGGGAAACTTAGTGTATTTAAGTTATAATAAAAGTACTACAGGTTGTGATTGGTACACAATGGAGAAATGGAGAAGAGGGGCACATGCCTTAGAAGGCAGATAAGGAGGGAAAGTCAAGAAAGCATTTCTAGAGGGGCTGGGGTCATGGCTCAGCAGTAGAGCGCTTGCCTAGCATGGGCGAGGCCCTGGGTTCRATCCTCAGCACCACATAAAATAAATAAATAAAGATATTGTGTCCAACTACAACTAAAAAATAGATATTAAAAAAAAGCATTTCTAGATATTCTACTTAAATTGCTAAGGAATTTGAAAAAAAATACCCTAATTGTACTGGGAAATCACTCATTTCAAGCAGAGAAATAATAATGGCAAAAATGGGAAATAATATGGCAAAAACATTTGACAAATTTTCTCTGGAAATGGTGTAGAGGATGAGATGGAGAGGGAGAAAAAGGATAAAGAAAGCAGCTACCAGAAGATACAGTTGCAGCAAAGCAAAAATAAAGAGGGCCTGAATTAAATAGTGGCAATAAAGATAGGGATAACAAGAAACAGAATAGCCTGAATATGAGGTGAGAAAGGAGAATTCTAGGATACTTCTTAGGCTCAAAGAACTTTTTGAATGATTATTGATAAAAGGGACACAGAACAGAATGGAGTGGGTGAGAAATGCTAAGTATTCAGTTCAATTCTGAATATACAAAGTTTGWAATACTGTCATCTGTCCAGAAAAAATTTCTAGGAGGCGCTGGAAACACAGGTTTTCTGGCAACTTGGGAAATACACCTGGATTAAAAAATACATGCAGATTCTAAATCACCAACACACAGGAAGTTGATGTAATCAGAGCTCACCCAGTGAGCCAAGAGGAGAATCTTACAGAATATTCATATTTAAGCAATAGACAGAAGCAGTCTCTAAAACTGACAGAAAATAAATGATCAGCATCTATATGAAAAGATACATTGTCAGAAAAGCTAAGAAAGGACGATTTCAAGAATAAAGTTAAGCAAGGAGCTGACTTTCTATTACTAAGGGAAGTCAAGGAAGATAAATGCCCATTCCATGTAGCAATGTTAAGTGTACAGAAAAGAGGTCTAACCCTGCTATCCTTAGGAAGGCCTGCTCTCAAGGTGGCATGTGGATGGCATTTGAGGATGTGCATTTCAGGATTCTTGCCACCTAATGGAGTAAGAGTGGCTTGCAGTGCCTAAACTACTCATGCAAACAATATAGCTTATGCAGAACACCTGCTTTTCTTCTGGGAGTTGAGAATTAGACAACTGACGCTTATGTGACCATCTCCCAACAAAAAACCTTGGACACTGAGTCACTTATGAGCTTCCCTGATAGACTTTTCACATGTGTTGTYACAAACTGTTGCTAGAGAAATCAAGGCATCCTGTGTGACTCCACCAGAAAACTCTCGGAAGCTTGTTGTGTCTGGTTTCCTCTAGACTTCACCTCACACACCTTATCCCTTTGCTTTGTATTCTTTTGCTATAATAAATCACAACCATGAGCCATCCTAAGGAGGCATGGAATCTGAGGGTGGTCTTGTGGACCCTCAACATAAGGGGGGACTAAAGTCAAACATAAGTTGCCAGAAAGTTATCTTTATTTGGTTTGCCATGTATATAAAATAGAAAAATCTCAGATCAGTTTATATGATAAAAGCATGGATCCATGGAGAAAAAGAAAGTTATAGGAAAGGAAAGATTTATACAGTAAATCTTAAACTTTTTAAGGTGAGTTACAGACTCAATATTTTATTAAAATCAACAATTCTGTTCCTATGAAGCTGTACTATATGATTTGTTTTTATAGAAACACTGTTAATAATTATATTAACAACCCTTTTAAATATGATAAAAATATAGAAATTCTTCAGAGTTGGATTCATAAAATTTTTTTTAAAATAGCCATTAAATATAAATATAAATAATAATAAAAAATAATAAATAATAATAAAAACACCCTATTTAGATCAAGAATCATGCAAAACCCGTATTTTTTAAGAAGGAAATACCTGCAGAATCATATCCTCTGTACTCTAATCTCTGAAGGCCTTTGATTAGGGTCTCCAATATTTCTCGTCTTGTGCGAGGAACATGGTAGTTTAAGTATGCAAATATACCTGCAAACAAACAAATATTTAATGGAAAATTCTGATTAATAAATTAAAATTGACATAATTATGCCTGGGATATTCAATAATGTGAAGCTAGATTTTGTTTTCAAAAAAATCATCCAGGCATAGTGCCAGAAACTTGTAATACTAGCTACTTGAGAGGCTGAAGCAGGAAGATCTCAAGTTCAAAGCCAGTCTCAGCAACTGTGAGACACTAAGCAACTCAGTAAGACCCTGCCTGACTCTAAATAAAATACAAAATAGGGCTGAGGATATGGCTCAGTGGTTGAGTGCCCCTGAGTTCAATCCCTGGTACCCCCCTCAAAAAAAGTAATATATTTGAAGATTAAAAATGAAATACAATAATTTAACACCAATTTGTTGAAATAATTTAAAGGCTAATTATATAAAACAAACTGGGGATTTGGGATTTTTTGTTTTTAAGAGATGGAGTCTTACTATGTTGCTCAGACTGGCCTCAAACTGCTGGGATCAAGTGATCCTCCTGCCTCAGCTTCCCAAGTAGCTGGAACTACACGAATGTGCCCCTGCTCCCACCTAAAAATAAACTTTTTAAGGTGAGTTACAGACTCRATATTTTATTAAAAAGAAGATTCAAAGTGATGTAGCTAGCATTAAATCCACTTTTTAAAAACATGAACTCAACAGCAGCCTTTTACTTTGATATTATTTCTAACTCCAATTTAATTGGTTTAATTTGGCTAGATGTGTGAATCTTAAAATCCTAAGTACATTTTTCAAAAACAGCAAAAAGATCTTCTAAATTGATACCCAACCTCCCGCAACTTATTAAATTTTAATTACTTCATAAACTAATTAAATTCATACCAAACATTTGTTACCTCATTAAAAAGTACTCTTGGGTTGAAGAAATCCTATTAATTCCTTTAATTCATGTGTATTCCCAAAGTTTTCCACTCTACTGCCCTGACTCAGCTTCCCCTTCTGTGAAATGAACAACTTTGAAATAGTAACCAACAGGTTTCACAGCAGATGCCAAGAAATTATTAACTGGTTGTGGCTGCAAACTATCAATGAAAAGGATTCAGTGGCCCTATTTCCTGAATAGGAAGGAAAACCATGACAGATTTAACAATATCTATTATGTGGGATGTAAATCAGGTTTAATATTTCCTACCTCTGATATTTGAGGATAATAACTACAATCCCCATCCAGCTTGATATTCTGAGATTTCTTCTGAGATTGCTTTGGAGACATTCATGATCCATTAGACCCCCCCCCTTTTTTTTTTGGTGGTACTGGAGGCTGGACCCCAGGCCTTGAATTTAACACTACCCATACCTGCTACCACTGTGTCCTACCTCTGAGCCACATCCCAATTTTTTTTTTTAATTTTATTTTGGACAGGGTCTTGTTAAATTGCCAAGGCTGGCCTTGAACTTGTGCTTCTCCTCCTGAGTCTCCTGAGTTGCTGAATACAGGCACGCCCTCCTACTATCCCTGCTTTCAGTTTGAACACTTTTTAACATCTCTACAGACTATACTTCTCTTCTGGGCCTCATTTTTTTGTTAAATCATTTACATGATTTTGTTTGCATACATCGTACCTACCAAATTAATTTTCATAGTACATTATTAAAGATTAATAATAGCAAAGTAACAAAATGTTAACATTTTTCTATAAAACCACAATGTTATCACTCCTAAGAGATCATCATCACCTAAATTGGTAAACTTAACAAGACCCTGTCCAAAATAAAATTTAAAAAGGGTTTGGGATGTAGCTCAGAGATAGGACACAGTGGTAGCAGGTATGGGTAGTGTTAAACTCAAGGCCTGGGATCCAGTCTCCAGTACCAAAAAAATACAACTTCTCAAATTTTCCCTATTATCAAAAGCATATATATGTCTTTTACAGCTAGTTGTTTATTCTAGGATTCAATAAGAATCATAACTCACATTTGAATCTGGAATAGTCTCTCCCTAACTGTTCCATTTCCCCCAAAACAAGGCAGGGCCAATTTTCTTGTTGAATGTATCACAGTTCAGGATGGATCTAATTGTTTCCGAAAAGTGTGGATAAAGGAGTTCTCCTATCCTTTGTATTCCCTGTAATCTGGAGGAAAGTCTAAAGGCTTAATTGAATTAGGCTAAAAACTCAATCAAGGGGCTGGGGCTGTAGCTCAGTGGCAGAGTGCTTGCCTCCCACGTGTGAGGCACTGGGTTTGTTTCTTAGTACCACATAAAAATAAATAAATAAAGGATACTGTCTCCATAAAAAAAATATATTTAAAAAGAAAACAAACCTCAATCAAGGGCAGAATGGTTTCCAGGGCTATATATGTACATTGTTTGCTGGTTCCCTATTAGCAATGCTAAGATTCATGACTGGTTTAAGGTAAAGACAATCAGATAACTGAACCAGTTATTTTGAAAGAATATTCAAAACACTTTCTCCAGCTTTAGAGATATGCATATTTTCTTTCTTTTCAGTTCAGATAATGATGCATTTCCCAATCAGTGACATCTTAGGTTCAGTGAAACACATATATCAAGTTCCAACTCAAACCTGTTTCCTCTTTTACAAATAATCATTTCAATCATTATTTGGTTTGCTATTGGTAAAAGAAAAGAAGAGGATTAAAGGAAGCAAAAAAACAAGACATGTTTTTCCTGACATTATCTAGGAAGGAACCGAAAGGAAGAAGAGGATGAAAAGATACCATGACATGTGTAGAGAAATTTTCCAAGATCAAAATAATAAGGTATGTGAAGAAAGGGGATTAGCTAAGTCATATCTAGTTAGGAAAATGGGAACTAAGGAGTTGAATCTGTCAGTTTTACAGACCTGCCCCTTAACAGCACTACTGGCCCAAGATAGTCCACTTGCTAGGTTATCTGCAATTTTGGGATGGCCTGGAAAATATAACAATAGCAAATAGGGCTGAGGATGTGGCTCAAGCGGTAGCGCGCTCGCCTTGCATGCGTGCGGCCCGGGTTCGATCCTCAGCACCACATACAAACAGGGATGTTGTGTCCGCCGAAAACTAAAGAAAATAAATATTCTCTCTTTAAAAAAAAAAAAAACAATAGCAAATAACCAGCTAATTAAGCATGTAGGATGTGTTCACAGGAAGGCATTCATACTCAAAATGGTGCTTATAAGAACAGAAATCACTAGGGCTGGGGCTGTAGCTCAGCTGTAGAGGACTTGCCTAGTATGCATGAGACAGTGGGTTCGATCCTCAGCAACGCATAAAAATAAACAAATAAAATAAAGGCATTTTGTCCATCTACAACTACAAAAAAAAATTTAACAACAACAACAACAAAAGAACAAAAATCACTAATTACCCTTATTTTTAGGCCTTTGACTTGTCTTATCAAATTTACCAATGAATAAGGACTGAAGATATAGCTCAGTGGTAGAGCATTTCCCCAGCAAGCATGAGGTCCTGCATTCAATACCTACCACTACAAGAAAAGAAACAAAAACTTCCCAATAAACACTTGTGCTGAAGGAAACTACAAAGTCTAAAAAGGTCAATCTCTGAATTAATCCAATACTTCACATAGTAGTTGTACTCATAGATTTTCTACCTGCAAATCAGCATGCTTTTTCAGAGAGTAAGTTTTCTTATTAACAGTATATAGTTTATTAAAGCAGATTCTTGTACCTACAGGTATCATTTTTAGAAATAGCAACTAAAACTACGTGACATGAAAGCACTATGAACACCCTGCATAAAAAATTTCAGAGGCAACTACTCTCAGTCTCAACACAACTCGTTGTAAGCAATCTGGTTCCAAGTAAACACTGTTAAACCTGAATATAACTTAATTGACTAGTCAAGGCATTAGCTAAGTCTGGTTCAATTTATGTATTTATGAATAAAAGATCTTTGTCACTTTTTCATTGACAGCTTCAACATTCTGGGACCCATAAATTGTAACCTCTCAGTGATAAGTTTCGAATTCATTCCCTAAATTTAATACTTTCTGAATCTTTTTTTTTTTTTTAAAGAGAGAGGAGGGGGGGGGAGAGAGAGAGAGAATTTATTTATTTATTTATTTATTTTAGTTCTCGGCAGACACAACATCTTTGTTTGTATGTGGTGCTGAGGATCGAACCCGGGCCGCACACATGCCAGGCGAGCGCGCTACCGCTTGAGCCACATCCCCAGCCCCCTTTCTGAATCTTAAAAGCCATCTACAATGCCACTTAGCTTTAAATTATTTTTTCTTATAATGCAGGTTACATATTATTAAAGACTTAAACAGTACAAATGCTATAGAATATAGTATGAAAATCATTTCTACTTCTGCACAGGTTCCAATAATCCCTTTCTCATACACATCATGCCTGTCCTTTAGCTATGAACTTTTCTACATTTACAAACCTTGATGTACACAGTATAGAGGCTTTAAAAAAAAAATACATGAATGTGATGATAGCATACATATTGTTCTGTAATTTTTTAACTTAAGATGTTGGTGATCTTGCTATGTATGTACAACATGTACTTCATTCTACTTAATACTGCATTCTAGAACATAGTACATTTATCATTTTTTATATAACTACTTCCCTACTAAGATTTGTCTGAGTCTTTACTATTAAAATGATGCAAATAAACTAATACACATAAATCTGATGCTTATCATAAAACTATTCAACATTATAATTATGCAGTCACATTCTACATGTGAGATTCCTTTTTAAAAAGAAGTACTATTTGAGATAATATTTTCTTTTATTTTCTTTCCTGCAGTACTGTGAATTAAGGACCTCACTAACGCAAGGCAAACACTCTACCACTGAGTTACATTCCCGGCCCTTTTTCATTTTGTTTTGAGAGACAGTCTGGTTAAATTTACAAGGCTGGCCTAGAACTTGGGATCCTCCTGCTTCAGCTTCCCAAGTGCACTACTGCAACCTGCTTAACATTTTCAATAATCCTAAAAACAAAGAAAAAATTACAACAGAGTAACACAGTGAAGGATTTCAGTTACTTCTGTGGTT